TACTTTACATTATAAAAGTTTACTTAAGTATTCTTTTTTACGTCCAATAGAAAAGCGAAATCATGCTTATCTGAATAGAAATTCTAATTGTAAACGATACACAGTTAGCATACGAGGAAGAATCATCAACGGGAACTGCCTGTACCGATTTTTGTTTCACGCGCTGTAAATAATGCACAGAAGTTTGGCGCTGCGCCAGCAGTATGCAAGTCGGTAAATATAGCTTGGTATATTGGAATAATCGCGGTTCGAGTAAACGTACGATACTCGTATACACACATTCCATTTCACACTGAATAAAATGCGACATTATAACGAATTGAGTATCATAACTATAAACTCAATTATTGTTAAATATCAAGATAAAACGCAATTCTTTAATAATAACAGAAACACAACTCTTAATCTGATTATTTATCAACGAAGCTGGATTATTTAAAAATAAACACTTTTGTTTATGAGATCGGATACTGAATTCATTTGTATGTTCACTACCTAATAAAATCCTGAGTCACTCGCGTAGTAATCTGCGCTCTACTGTCTGGCACTCGTTGCTGGCTACTGTGTATTGTTCTTGTTCTTAATGACACGTGCACTTGGTGTCATCATTGTGTCTAACAGAACGTCTGAGGGCCGCCGGATGTTCCCCAAGTGGACGTTCTAAAAATGTACAAAGCACCACGCGACATTGGCCGAAACTTTGAAACGCTTCCGTCATGCATTTATTACAATGATATAGGTACAGGCTGATTGTAATTCTTAGGACGACTTCATTCCACGTGAAACAAACATACATCACGTTTCATAACTGATTATTTAATAACTGCAATTTATTTTTCTTGATACCATACTGTCAAATATTTGTATACTTCAACTTCTGTAAGGAAATTCTGTACCGATTTATAAATTAATTTCTGGCCCGCTCCGATTACTAGAACCAACCTGTAGATCAAATCGGTTGAAACTAACTCGAAGCGGTTTGTTCTTCTCTAACAATCTATTCAGGTGAGTGTAAACATACAGTGCTGTTGACTTGGATACCCTCGAATAGCCCATACTATTTTTTCGTAGAAAGTTGTATGTAATATGAATAAAATAATATAGATATATAAATATACATCATTTAGTTATATAAAATGATAAAATGTAGACTTGTAAATATTTCTTCTTTGACCTATCGCGGAGCATCAATTAAGTGTGATTAAACACTTGAAGCTACAGAGCCTATGTTTCTAACAACAAAGTATTTTCCAAATGTGTACATCAATATAATGTCATTTACATATTTATAATGCAAATGGAACTAACTAGTAAATAACAATTTTTAACAAAATTCTTTGACATAATTAAGCTTATATGAATGTATCAATTTTTACCCAAGGCCAGTCAAGTGAAGAGCACCATTGAACATCACAGGATGTAATTAGTATTGGTTATATTTTTTCCAATATCGTGGATCAATTTGGTCCGATCTTTCACTAATGGATGCATAGAGGAGTTTGTTAACTTTTAGCAAAGTATTAAATCCTGGGCTTTGTCGCATAACTGTTCATTACAATTATAGAGACACGTGTGTACATATGTACGATCAAATGTCAAAAATATGTAATATATGCGACAATGTAATATGTAAAATATATGTAATATACAAAATGTGTAACATGGAAACTACAGTTCGAGAATCCTCTACAGATAACGAAATTTCTGCCCAGGTCCCACACTTCATTTACTTTCTATAAAAATATGCATTTGCATAAACATACACTGCTAATTATTAAATATTACATTAACAAAATATTATACAAAATGTTTTAAATTTTGCGAGACTACTAAGAAAATTACATCTTGGATTCTTATGTTGAATGGAAAGACTTTGATTTCATTTATGAAAAGATATAAATGTAATAATGAGAGAACTTTGTAATTGTGTATAATTGTTCACACATAGAAATTATAAATAATATAAAATTTTGCTGTGACTTGAAAAATGCATCAAACAATTCTAAACCTTACTTCTCTATAAAAAAATTTACTGCCTCAAATATTGGACAGAGCTATTTATCAGCTTTCTTAAATTTTTGGAAAAGACTTTACGTTTCATACAACCATAAACAATTATTTTATACGGGTATTATTGTTGAAATTTGTAATAATTTATTTCCTTTTTTGAATCTTCTAAACTTATTCTGGAACCTTCCCTACAGACACTACAAATGCATCTTGCTGTATTTGCTGTTGTATTTCCAACTCGTAAAGAATAAGAACTTGAATTATTAACTTTTTGTTACCCATGTTTACTGTTGACGAAAGAATAGAACGGCGAAACTTTGAAAAAACAGAGAGTAATTTTAGTAATCAGAGATCAAACTTCCACATTAAACCAACTACGTGCCCTATTTGCCAATATTCAGAAGAAAATCGATTTATCAATTGCACTAATGAAAGAATCGCACAAACTTGTTCCGGTAACTAAAAATTATCGAAATGTTTACACCAAGATAGAATGCAATAATATGTACGCACATTTAAAAGAAAGCAAGTACCAAATGAGTCCATGAAACGATCGTAAGAGTCCATAATTTTATATCTTGATCACAATTCAAAATCACATGAATTTTGTTAGAACTAGAATTTATATCTGGATGACACACTTGTTTCACTGATTTATTTTTACTACCTAGCGACATTCAAAGAAAGTTCAAGAGTCTTAAGCGTTTATGTTAGTAAATTTATTATACCGTTAAAAGAAGATCACTAGACAGCGGATTTTATACATTTATAGAAAAAGTCATCGGCAATAAGTATAATGAATATTCGACATGATCAAAAATACACGAAATATTAAAAGATTAGTGACAATTATAAAGTTTGCATGATTAATCTATCTATTTAGATTTCATTTCTTAAACTGTTACGATAAATGATTTTGCATCAAAATCCGCAGTCCATATATCACATCACAGCTTTTATAGGCTTCTGGTATTGAGAACACACAGATTAATTAGAAGATATTTCTAAATAGTTACAAGCTCATGTACGCGCTCGAAGCTCGTTAGCGGCAAACTGGTTCGCTTTGAAAATCCACCTCGTCTATTGGGAATGTTAACATTGGAGCTGGTCAATTTTGATCCGATGGCAGATACCCAAATCTAAAAGCAGGATACCAAGCTTGTGTGAAACGATTTTGCGAACGCACACTTGTCTCTCACGAATTTATTGTAATTTAATCCTCACGTATTTCAAAAGATGCAACTAATGCAAAATTAAATGATATTATTAAACTTACTGTGCATGTAGTACATTTTTGATATGTAAAAAAACGTTTTTTTTATATTGAGTAATAAATAACAGGTGAACATTTTTTATCTTGAGTTTGAAAAGATTAACGTATTTGCGACAGATTTGATAATTAATAGCCGTATTGATAATACGGTGCTCGTGAGTATGACATTTTATTGTCTTTTCGTTACTATATACTACCGCCTATCTGTAAAACTTATAAAAATTTTATTTGTACGTACTCGCGTTAACGCAAGTGTTGCGTCACGGACATACAGGGTGTTCCGGAAAGATTGTTAGAGCCGAAAATGGCAGATGGGGAGGAGCATTGTGAACAACAATTTCCTTTGGTAAAATACGAAATGGGACTTGGTTACCGAGTTATTAACAAAAAACACGGACCAATCAGAGCCCTCGGTTGACGCGGTCTCCGTTTCGGGAGCGCTGGCTCGGAGTCAGCCGGCCGGCTTTTCTCGCGTTTGAATAAGCGCTCCACTCAGTACGAAGCGTTTTAAGAAAATGACGAATAACAAACTACATGAATAACAATGCAAGGAAATTGTTGTTCGTTCGTTATTATGAATAACAATTAATACACTTACTCGTTATTCACGAGGAATGGATGGGATAGATTGTTGATAATTGATGGATGATGATAGGATAAATGAGGAATTAACAAGTCGCAGGGAATATTGAATTAAAAAGAAAATGCAAAAACTGTAGAGATTTAGACTTACCCATTCATTCGCAAGTGCACCTGCTAACGATGGGCCACGGTCAATGGGTCAGCGTCTTTGCCGCTCGCAGGTAGGCCACAGCTGATCTTCTGTTCAGGGAAGGAACCCCGCAATCCACCGCACGATCATTGTCACTCTTAAAAATTTTAACACACTAAGATTGTTGCTCCTACGTCCTATCAATAAACGTCTTTGAAAGCAGCCGATTGATTTTTATACACAAATGCACTTTCATTACACCACTGTCACTCTTCACTTAAAAATTTTCAAACACTTACACTGTCGTTCTTGCACTCTAACATTAAACGTCTCCGAAAGGAACCGATTGTTTTTCATTCACAAAATAAACTTCACTATCCGTGAACTACACGATGCGCGAAGGGCGCGACTCGATCGGGATGACGCTCCTTTTAACGGAATCGGCGGATAACCATCTTCGCGTTAGGCGAACACTCGGATTATTTCGTAATACTCTGTTGGATTTTTCGGGATCCGTCATTGAGTTGAGCTGCACGACTCGATACCTACTGAACCGTCTCTCACAACTTTCCTTGGGGAGAATTTTCCCCACTCGATGGCCAAATTCGTTAGTGAAAATGTTTTTAACATCCCTGAAAGAAACTCGACCTTCGATTCCTTGTCATATTTACAACATTCCCCACGTGTTAAACACTCGGTACCTCTGCGACTTGCAGCCAGCAAAGCCGTAGACATCATTGTACGCAGGTAAAAGCCGTGTCATAATTCTTAGGGAAGAAGTTTCGCCAGCTTATTATTTTCGATTTCCCTTAAAAACACGTGTTCGATAATAAGAAGTACCTTTGACTGGTTGAACGTAGTAAAAGAATGTCCTTCTACTTTTTTTACCACTGGCGAAAGTTCTTCCGTACGGATTATGGCAGGGTTTTTACCTGCGTACAATGTGTCTACGGCTACGGCAAAAGGCAATCCAGGCGTCGACGGTTGGTAGCTGCAAGTCGTGGAGGTACCGAGTGTTTAACACGTGGGGAA